GTACGACTGCACAAAACCTTAGTGTACCAAACGGTTACACTTCGGAGCAAAGTTCCGGCGGCTGTGAGGAAACACAGGCTGCGCCGAAGGTCCACCACTCGAATAAGTCGAGTGGACCGGGACAAAGATGTATCCCTAGCGGGGAACATCTAGAAGAGAAACCATGGATCGCTCAGGTTAAGCGAAACGATAATCCTAGATCGACCGGAGAGTCTTTCGTAGAGGATCTCGCTGTGGTTGCGCAACCCCAGCTAGAGGAAGTAAAGGGAATAAGTCCCGATATTACAAATACGGCGGAAATAAGTTCCCCGAAACCCGAGGGAATAAGTACCCGGAAAGCCGAAGGAATAAGTCCTTCGAAGCCTGAGGGAATAAGTCCCCAGGAAATGACAGAGACATTGAATATCATAGTCAATAACGGATCAAGTGTAGGCGCTTATACACTTGGTCTGATTGCGCCTCCGAAGTTGACTTCGGAGATCACTCAGTTGCCAACGCTCGAACATAAAAGGTTCTTGCGTGATCTGCGTAGTGGCAAAGTCAAGCAGATCTGCATACTCGTCGCTGACGACGAGTGTGTAGCCGACATAAGGTCAGCAACAATGTTTACTGAGAACGAGAGAGTTCTCAGTAGTTCATCTATGGACGAGAGTGTCCTAGATGCAAAGACACGAACTGAGCGATATGACTCCCAATCGTGGGAATCGCTCAAGACAAATCCTCTCTATGAAGATTTGGTTGAATTCAAGGATGTATTCCCTGAAACTGTTCCGTGCGAATTACCGAAGGATAAAGGTATTCGACACGAGGTCGAGCTTAAACCAGGCTCGAAGTACTGTGTCATGAAGCAGTGGTCACTGCCTCGTGAACAAGTACTTGCGATCGACAAGTTCTTTGCCGATCGCTTAGCCGTTGGTCATGTGAGGGAATCAACTTCCCCACATAGCTCTCCGACCTTCTGTGTGCGAAAAGCAACAGGAGGGTGGCGGATAGTGCACGCGTTTAACAAATTGAACGCTGCAACGGTACCGGCTCAGACGCCGATACCGAGGAAGGACGTAATCATTGATGGTATGTCAAAGAGTACCATCTTTTCGTCCATGGATTTGATGGATGGCTTCTATCAAATCCTTATGCGGGAACGGGATATACCCTATACCGCAGTTAGCACGCCTAGCGGCATGCTCTGGGAATGGCTAGTAATGCCACAAGGGCTCAGTAATGCCCCTGCCACGTTCAACAGATGTGATACACATCTGTTGAGACCAGTACGAGAATTCGCGCCGAGTTATTTCGATGACGTATTCATCCATAGTCGAGCTATGGATGGAAAGTCGGACGTTGAGGTTCACAGTTACCACGTCCGACAGGTTCTTACAATCATGCGAAAGCATCAATTGTATGCTAACCTCAAGAAGTGTATATTTGCAGCAAGCGAAATACCACTTCTTGGGTGCATCGTTGGTAAGAACGGTGTACGTCCTGATCCCGAAAAGATCAAGGCAATCACCGACTGGCCTGTGCCGGTTGATGTCAAAGGTCTTCGAAAATTCCTTGGGCTAGCGGCGTATTTGCATAAGTATTCACGCAATTACGCCGAGATGACTGTGCACCTCTCTCGTTTGTTGAAAAAGAACGAGAGGTGGTTATGGAACGCTGAATGTCAACGCTCCTTTGAGGGTATCAAGCAGAGCTTGATACAATCCCCAGTCCTAGCAATAGCCGATCAGGACAGGCCATTTCATGTGGTCTGTGATGCCAGCGATTTCGCAATCGGCTGTGCATTAATGCAGTACGATCTTGAAGGCGTTGAACGCGTCGTCTGCTATCAGTCGCGTCAGCTGCAACCAGCTGAGCGGAACTATCCAGTGCATGACAAGGATCTCGTTGTCATGAAGTATGCACTCGAGAAGTTCAGAGTCTATCTATTAGGAGATAGACCCTTCATAGTTTACACTGACCATGCGTCATTACGCACGGCAGTGAACAGCCCGCACCTTTCGCAACGAATGGCGCGGTGGTTGTCATTCTTTGCAGAATACAACTTTACGGTCGAGTACAAACCAGGACGACTTAATGTCGTCGCTGACGCACTCTCACGTCGTCCCGACTTTGAAACAGTCGCGAAACCCAACAGTGAGACAGTCACTGTTGCGGTTATGACGTCCTCAGTCCCATCTACAACGTTGTATGATGATGTGAGGCGGGCATACGCCCAAGATGGTGAGATTGTGAAGTTGTTGACACATCTCTCACAGCCATCTCGAGAATCGTTGAAACGATTGTCATCTGCGTATCGATCTGTATCAGATCGATACACTGCTCGTAACGGTTTACTGTATTATACAGCCGTTTCTGGTGACACACCACGTGTTGTCATTTCAGATGATACTGATCTTCGTTTGCGGATCATGTGCGAGTATCACGATGCTCCTATAGGAGGACATCGTGGCCGGGAGAAAACATATCTCACGGTGAGTCGAGACTTTTACTGGCCCCGCCAGTATCATTTTGTGCGCAAGTATGTTCGCGCATGCGAAGTCTGTCAACGAGTGAAGTCAAGTCCTTCACTGCGTGCACCTTTACAGCCTCTACCGGTTCCGGCTAAGTGCTGGGAATCCATCTCAATGGATTTTGTCTTCGGGTTACCCAAAGACGCACGCGGGAATACGGGTATTCTCGTATTTGTTGACAGATTCAGCAAAATGATACACCTTGTGGCTGTACCAGAGACAATCGCGGCAAGTGGCTGTGCTTGTGTCTTTATTGACACCATCTTCCGACTTCATGGGTTGCCCCGTGAACTCGTGTCAGACAGAGATCCACGATTCACTGCTGATTTCTGGCGTTCCGTGTTCAAATCACTCGGAACGCGCTTGAAGATGTCAACATCTGATCATCCAGAGTCAGATGGTCAGACGGAACGTGCCAATCGTGTCCTCGAAGAGATAATTCGAGGATACGTACACTCCTTTAAGAGTTGGAGTGAGTTTTTGCCAATGGTAGAGTTTGCCATTAACAACTCGGTGCATGTGTCCACGACACATACACCGTTTTACGTGAATGGCTTACGCCATCCGTATGTACCCACCTTACTAGAGTGTAACTCTGGTTTAAGGGGGGAGGGACTCGCGCGAGCAAAAACAGATTTGGTTCACGCTCATCACGCTCTGACGAAGAGGTCATTGCGTTTGATGCCGATATCGATAACATCGATATCGAAGAAGATGATGCCAGTGAGAGTGCGGAAGCCCTCACTGAAGAAAAGGTTGATGTTGCTGCAGTGCACTCACAGCGCACTGAAGCTAACGAGTCATCAGATGAGTTCATACTGGCTCGTGAAAAGGTAGTCCGTTTTGTGCAAGACTCCATCGCCGAAGCGGTGGATAAGCAAAAGAAAAACGCTGACAAGAATGGAAGGGTAAACACTCTTTTATTTAATAAAGGTGACTTAGTCCTACTGTCTACGGTTAATCTACCAAAGCATGTAGTGACTAACTTGGGTAGTAGTTTACTGCTACCCAAGTACATCGGCCCATTTCGTGTATTGCACCGCCTAGGCAATGCATACACGATCGAGTTACCACGTAAGATGCGAACGCATCCCACATTTTACGTTTATCGGCTTAAGCAGTACCATCAGTACGCTGCTTCTTCCGATGAAGAACGCCCTTGCGCTCAAGCATCTCGCAGAGAGCCTTGTGCTCCCGATGGTGGGCATCGATAAGGGTCTGAAGAGCAGCTTTCTCATCCCAAGACCGATCAACAATCCCACGAGCTACCCTTAGCTCGTCACGAAGAGATGTCAGAGATCTCTCGTTCTCAAGCTGAGCAAAGGCAAACTCAGCTCGATGCTTCGAGGCAGTGTCCGCCATTTGGAGACGCCTATTCCGCTCACGTTCGAGATCGTCGCGTAACCCTTGCGTTACGCGATCAAAGAAGCTCTCGGGAACACACCGATCCACATGATCGTGTGGAGAGCGTCTTTCCTCCTCCTCCACCTCCATTAGAGGACTCTCGCGGTGGCCAGCGCTATCTAGTTGAGCAGCTGTTGAACCACCGCGACGTGAACGGACGTCGGACGAGTTATCTCGTCCGGTGGCGCGGCTATCCCCCGTCCTGGGATTCTTGGGAGCCCCGCTCCCAACTGATGATCGACGTACTGGGTCTGGTTGAGCAGTACGACGCGGCACATCCTGTGCCGCAGAAGGACCGCCGGAGAAAGTCTTCCCGGCACGGTCATAAAGGGATTTCAGGTTGTCAATCCCTTCGTACATCTCACTAGAGATACGTGCGCGCCACCACGGGCTGGTAAGGAGGTAAGCCTCCTTAGGTGCTCGTGCAGAGTTGTTCACACAACATGGGCACGAGTCTCCCCATGAGAGGTAGAGTAATCCTTTCTCCCTTGACAGACGATGCAGCTTGTAGCGTGCACCTGTCGGGGTTCGCTTTTCAAACTTATCTCGAGCTTTGATAAGTTTGTCGTTCCAAGCGTCACGACCTACATCCTCAAGGTTATGGATGTAGGCGTTCCACGCTTGAAGCAGTGGGAAACCATCACGCTTGTGATTCCCACTGTACCATCGATGTCTAAAGAAAGCATCGATGAAGAATTCAATCTCAGCGCGATAGCTCTTCACGCTGGGGTCAAGGTGATGGATCCTTGACGAATCGAACAACCGTGTTCGATAACGATCACTCGTCGTCGCCGACAAGTGATCCATGACAGATTTTGGAGGCATCCATGCCTTCTTCTCGGGAGCGAGACGCAAGACATTGCGATCCCGCTCTTCCTGCGATGTGCCGACTGAAGGACTGGCACCTCGTTGCGAAGTGGTGTCCATAGCAGAACCGACACCACTGTTAGCGCCCGAGTCTCGCGACCTCGAGCGCCTTCGCTTCGGCGATGGTTCATCTGATTCATCAGATGAACCAAAGATGCTGCGACGCAAAGCATCGTCCATGCCACTCTTGGCAGGCGGCTTGGCTTCAACCGCCTTCTATACGGATCCGTCTTCCGTATCAGGAGAGTACGAGACACCGAGCTCGTACTCTGTGAAGACACGAGTGTCTTCATGACCAGCGCCTGCATCACCAAGTGACACAGGCTGGGTCGCTTCAGCAAACGATGAGACATCAGTTGCTGTGGTTTCTGCTTCGGCGTCCGCACGTCTCTGTGCGGACGCGCTCTCGGCGGCCTTGCTCTCGCATCGCATGGGCTTGTTAACCATGCGATGAATTATTGGAAAGTGGACTCGGACCAACAAGTGCAAACCCTGTCCCAAATGATTCGGGACGAGTATCCATTTAGTCAATCAGTCACTAAAGTGACTGATGGTTAAGGGGGAGGGGGTGATGTAACGGGGTGAATCGTTACATAACAATTTATAAGAAATTGTTAATAGAATATAACTATAAGAGTTATATTCTCAGAATATTGTCATAAGGACAAATATTCTGTAGCACTTACGAGTAGTTCCTAATTGGTTGATATAGGCCATTATATCAACCAACAAAGACGCGCCACGACAGACGCACGCAATGAGTGGTGAGCAGATAGTTGATTTACACATTTGTATTTAGACATAGTTAGATGAGGATAAACAGGGGGTTTATTGCAGACATTAACTATACTAAATACAGTTCTACTTTTTACTTAAACTAAGTACTCGCTTCTTCTTACCGTCTTCCTCTGAACGTACGAGTGTACGTGAAGTTACGAGGCACCGCCTTATTCTGTCATCAGAATAAGTAGCTTGTACTGTCACCAGTACAAGCTTCAGGGTGCCCCGTTACATGCGACCTCTGCATACTCGAAGAGCGATATATCGCGCTGCATGCTTATAAAACGACGATTAAGGTCATGAACTGGCCTACCACGACTCTTTATTCTATTGCACCACTCACGTCATCGGGTAGCGCCGGAACATTTCGACGGTCTCTCTCTTCGATTCCCGGCCAAATTTGAGTACTCTGTCATTGATATTTTCCATGCGAATGTAAATTTATCCATACGCTATAGATATACTAGTTTAAAAGGCTGCAGGAACCATCAAAGCTTGTTACAATTTTAAAAGAAAGCGACATGCTTCTAGCGGACAAGAAATTACGGCAAGGGTATCCCATCACCGATTTTACAAGCCTGTTAAAAGATTTAATGAATATAAGCTGCACATATTGTGCTATACTTAGAAATCTATTTATGTACCTTGGCAATGAACACCAGCCCCATTGTCATAGATCATAATAAAAACGATTTTTGTATAGGTGGAAGGCTGCACGCAGGACAGCTTCTAAGATCTTTCCCATGACGTCGGTAATTTACGAACGATTCGCAAGCCAAGCGTTGCTCACTCTTTTGCGTGGGGTTGCTTGATACGAGCCAGCTGTCCACCGCAAACTAGATTTATTTAGAGTTGTTGGCAGACAGATGATCGACTGTCGAGGTTTGTATTCGGAGTTTCTGGGCGGCATGCGCGCTTTCCACGTGAGACGTGGTGACATGTCCACAATACTGCTTCTTGCGGAGAAAAAGGTCGCAATCTTCTACAACACAGCCACGTTTTGTGGACGTTTTAAACGACCTGCGGATGCACAATGCATCAGATTCCACGCATATTGTCCACTTATTATTTTAAGTATCAATTTGATCTTGTTACACCATATGCTTAAGTCTTTTAAGGAAGACCTCTCAATCAACGTTTGTAAAACCTTGTTGTGCTTGGCAGGAATGTAGTTATATATTCCAGCGGCATAGCAACCCATTCACTCTCGGGAATACAATGCCAATCGCGCGAATCAAAGTCATCTCCTAGTATGCTAAAATGTCTTGCAGAAAAACGTATCACACGTTTTCTGTTGCAGCTTCCGCATTGCCCAGACAAAGTTCGCCTCTAGTTCTGCTTTTATAAAGCAGTATGCCTAGAGTGAGTGTACGGTCGGTGCTGCTAACTCCGACATTGTGTAATAAGGGTATCTCATTCCTGTTAATATTGTATGTAGAGTCCATATGCCATTCTGTCCCAGGGGTGTATATGGAACAAATCTCCGTGGCCGATGAAAAAACAAAAAAGGTGTGTCATTTTCTGTCCATCTTCTTCGGGTGCAGTATAGTATTTAAACCTGAAGCAACAAGGCCAACAAAGAGTTACCAAAGAGCTTTTCTCCCTTGTAGCTTTACAGCGCAATAATTGTTACGGATGTTGTAATTGTCCTGAGCAAATAAATTTATGCTGCCGTCATTGTGAAGAAAAGCAACAAAAGTACCAAACTATAACCAGTGCTGTTATATAAGAGGTTCGCTCGCGAGCCACCTCGTTCAAAGCGCGACCACTCGAATGTGCAGAGGCGACATTAAATTGTTCATGATTGTGCTTCCCTCTAGCGACTGAAACTTGCCAGTACTCATCTATGCGTTGAATGACAGCTTTATAACGGCACCCAGTGCTTCTACTAGCCAATTATGCGCTTGATTGTTCTAGTTGCTAATTTTTCGTCAACAGCAACTGGCTTGTATTTATTTCCCAGAGAAAACCAAAGAGAAATACGCTTGATTGCGCCATCTTTCCTGCTATCCATTCTCTTGATACGCTTAATTGTTAGGGCATAGCCTTGAGCTCCTACACGTTCATCAAATACCTTATCGGATTTCTCGAGCGTATCGTGTGCAATTTCAGGAGAAGGAAGTAGAGTTTTATTATAATGAATGAAGATGATTTTTGCGCGCTAAAACAAATTATCAAAAAAATAAAAATAGCGTGTAAGCGAAAGAAAAAAAGATGCAGTTATTGTGTAGGGATTGGCTGCCAGTTTTTAGTAATTGAAAATTAATTTTGCCAGCCTTTAAGTACGTAAGATGTGACGCCAAACATGCTTGGAACAGTCTCGATTCTTGCCAGCTTTCATGATCGATGCATATGCGAAATGGGCAGTTTTAAAAGACAGTATCAATGGTATGAGAAAGCTACAAATTGTTCAAGAATACGTAGGGACAGTGCAACACAACATAATTCCTATAAAGACCAGGTCTCGATCGGCCAATAAAGTGCTGGATGTGTAAAGAAGAGCAATTAACATCAGATGACAGTGTGGTATTTAGGCACCACCCAGGTCTGTGTTATTAAAACGTTCTTGATATCGCCTTAAAGATCAAACCTTTTCCTTTCGATTGTTATGATCGAGAAGGAACTGATTTAAGAGGTAACCTTTAATCTTGCGTTAAATCATTACAACGCTTGATGTGAATATTCCGACACAATCTTGTTTATAACTAATGCATTATACACTTTATATCATTTCGATTCTGCCACCATTGAAGACATTGTCATACTTATTTAGTGTGTCATGACATTAATTATTCCACCTTTTTCTGATCCTACTAAAGACATCGACGAACGATACTATTGTCATATTGCCAAAACAAGCAAAGAAAAGTTGACGAAAGCACGGCAGTGAGCAGTGCGCTCAGAGTAAATTACTGGAGAGTGTTTAGAAAAACTACAAATAAAGATGAGACAAGCTATCTCTGTCTTTTACATTAATCCTATAGTCATTGTCGTTGGTAATCGGCCCATCCTGGTTCTTTTTAGCATCTAGAACTAAAGTGATGTCTCACTTCGTCACGATTAATGTATCTCACATCGTCATGATGAATATTGTTGTCTTTACTTTGCCAAGTCTACTTCCGGATACGGCTGCAACACAAATACTTAAATTTACATCAGCACCAAATCTTTTACCTCATTGTAGAAGCTGATGTGCTCGTCGTCACCTCCAATCTTCTGACCCGACAGTGCAAAAACACTGCGAGTACACACGAGTTTATTTTTCCAAAGCTCTTTGATATAGATTAGCATTCATTTTATTGGTAGTTCAAAAATGTACATGCACACAAACACTAGCCACTTAAACTTGTATCCAATTGTACTTTTGGATTATGAAACGTGATCGTTTGGATCACAGCCTTTTTTTACCAAGTATTGATGTCCATCGCTACCCTCAAGCACCAATCGTTCAAAGACCTTTATTCCATTGTCTGTTTACATTATTGTAGCCCAACACACTTTATAGCGTCACTAAACTACGATTGTATCCCACTCGGGAGGAGATAGCGTCACTATCGACTACTTCTTCGATCACCATATAACAAAGTTTCATTGAATAAAATTGTGTAGCCAGTCCCAGACCACGATTGAGTTTCGTTGAGATAGTCGTATCACATATTATATCTAGTCCTACTTTGATCCAACGAGTGGTCCTTGAACATGATACCTGAATCAGGAATTTCAAATAAACGTATCACCCGATCAAATTATTTCTTTAAAAAAATCCTTGGACGCTCTATTCTTTAATATTATATGCGCACAGATGTTACAGTATCGGGAAAAATCAAATTAGCTAAATATGTAAGAGCACCGATATTTTATCGTGGATAATGTTGGTAACGTAAGGCGAGTGGAGCCTCCGATCTCGTGCACATTATTCCACATGTGTCAAACACGATCAAGAAGGATTCGTGTTAAAGATCTCCAAAACTATTTTAACGTACTTGTAATGTCTGAAGCGTGGCTCATTTCAACTCATGGACCAATTTATCTTTATCCCGAGGAGGTATTCACATCAGCAAAATTATTCACTTCGTAAATAATTTACGAAGTGTAAAATTGCGTGATGTACATCTACATGGGTAATGAAGCCAAAATGTTATCGAGCTGGACAGAAAAATCACTAAATCATTGTTATTTCGCTTGACACAAAGGACGATTGCCGGACTTCCCTTTTGTAAAGCTGACACACACTAGAAATTCCATTTGTCAAACTAGGTTTTCAAAGATTGATTTGATGCATACGAGCGCTCTTAAATGAGACCACCCATGGCCTATGTTGGTCTCGTACCTCTCAACATACTCCATGAAGATCCCCTTCTGATGATTTAAATTATAGCATATGATATTGACATAAAATAGTTAACTCATTATAGGTATGTGCACGGCGACAGCGAACAAGATCGGAATAGTGCTCTGACGTATAACCGGGATGAACATTTCCACAAAGATCTAGTTAAAAAGCTGACTAAGGCTTTAAACAAAATTTGAGACTCGTAATATTCTAGACTGACGTCTTCATATTTATTTCGTTGACACTCATCGCGATTTGATAGCCATAACCTCGGTGGCAGTAGTGTAAAACACGGTATTTGTTGCAATTGTTGCAAAAA